AAAAAATGGCCTAGTATAAAAAACTACTCTATAAAGTGACAGATCAGAACAACAGTTCCTTTTTGGAAAGGCAATGATTGGGAGGGAGCCCAAGTTTTTCTTTCCTCTTAGTTTTTTATTAGTGTATTTTTCTGATGCATGGTAAATATATTCATCATGGAGGAATACATTCATTGTAAGGGAACTGGTACATATACATATTGATCTTAATCCTTTTTACTTCCCGTTCCCCTCTCCTCTCTCCCATCTTCAGATCCCCTTCCCATCCTTTTGAAGAAACTCTAATTCAATGATCCTTTGTATTGGTTTTCAGGCTCAATTTCATTCATTTCTGCTCTGATCTTTGTAATATCTCTTGTTCTATTAAAGTTTCAGACTTGTTCTTTTTTTTTTTTTGGTACCGGGGATTGAACTCGGGTCCTTAGCTTGCGAGGCAGGCGGTGGAACCACTGAGCTAAATTCCCGGCCCTAAAACTTGTTCTTGTCTTTGTAGGATCTTGAGATGCATCATTAGGTTATTTCAGATCAGTGCAATTCTCTGTGTGTACATTTATAGTATAATCTTCTTAAAACTGCTTTCATTGTGTCCCATAGGTTTTAGTATGCTGTGGTTCCATTGTTGATTCTTCTTCCTTGATTTCTTCAGTGATCCACTGATTATTTAATAATGTATTATTTAATCTCTTTGTGTTTGCATATTTTCTGTGGCTTCTTTTGCCTTTACTTTCTAGCTTCATTCCACTATGATCTGATTATTTCTTTTGCTGTTGATTTCTAGTTTCCTTCCGCTATACTCTTGATAGTATGTAGGGGATTATTTCAATACTTTTGTATTTATTTATGCATACTTTATGCCTAAGTCTCTTTTGTTTTTTGGTACTGGGGATCAAACTCGGGACCTTGTGCTTGCGAGGCAGGCACCAGAACCACTGAGCTAAATCCCTGGCCCAAGACAGTCTCTTTTGTAAAGAGTTCTGTGGGCTGCTGAGAAATGTGCATTTTGTTATTGGATGAAACACTATGTAGATATCTGTTAAGTCCATTTGTTCAGTGGTGTGGTTTAACTCTGATGATCTTTGCTGATTTTTTGCCTGACCTAATTGTGAGAGTAGGTAATTAAGTCCCCCATTATGACTACATTGGAGTCTATCTGTCCCTTTAAGTCTAGTGGTTTTTGTTTTATGAAATTGGGTCTGCCAACATTCAATGCATATTTTTACAACTGTAATCTCTTCCTGTTGAATTCCTTCTTTTATCGGTATGTAGTGGCCATCTTTTGTCTCTTCTGATCAGTTTTGGCCTGAAGTGCGCTGTGTCTGAAAATAAGATAGCTACTTCTGCTTGTTTTGGGGTTCCTGTTGAATGTAGTATCATTTTCATGCTTTCACTTTTAGTCTGTGTCTTTCCTTTTGGATGAAGTGTGTCTCCTGTAGGCAGTATATGGCTGTGCTGTTTTTTGATCCATCTGCCAGTGTGTCTTCGGTTAGGGATCTGAGACCACTGACATTGAGAGTTAATGCTGTATGGTGTTTATTTACTTCTGTCATTGAATTATTTTTCCAGTGCTGATTGCTTTACAAATATTTCTCATTTAACGACCTGTTGAACAACTGTTCTGACTTATGACCTACCGCTCAGACTTATGACCCATCTTTTTTGTACAGTTCAATACATCTTGTTTTTAGAGCCTCAATGTCTTTTTTTTTGTATAGAACATCTTGTTTATACAGTACTGTAGTTTTATGTTGTTATACACTACAGTACTGTGTGTAAGAGTTTTGCAAATAAAGGCAAAGTCATCAAGTTGGGAGTTTTCTTTGACCATTTCTTTGTTCTGAGTATTACAATGTACATACTATATACAATTCCTCATTTAGCAACCAATTCAATTAACCACTTAATCACAGGCAGGACTATAACTTAATCGTTAACTCTTGCAGTTAGATGTATTCTTTCCTTTAGGCTCTTTGGTGCTGGAGGCCTCACAGTCTCTGTCTAGAATTTCCTTAAGTATTTTTGGGAGTGCTGATTTCGTGGTCATGTAGTTCTTCAGGATTTGTCACAGAAAGCTTTTTATCAATTCTGAAGGCTAATTTACCAGGATATAAAAGTCTGTGTTGACAATTATTTTCTTTTAGGGGTTAAAAATCTTTGCTGCTGGGCATGGTGGTGCACACTTGCAATCCCAGCACTCAAGAGGCTGAGGCAGGAGGATTGCTGAGGCAGGAGGATCACTGCAAGTTCAAGGCTAATCTGGGCTAGTGAGTTCAAGGCCAGCCTAAACTATACAGTGAGACACTGTCTCAAAAAACCAAAAAAACTGTCACTCCAGGCTCTCCTGGTCTTTAAGGTTTGTGCTGACAAATCTCCAGTTATTCTAATAGGTCTTCTTTTCTTTTGTTGAAGTTCTGAAATTTTAATATCACATGTTACAGGGAGGTTCTTTTCTGGTCGTAGCTATTTGGGGTTTTATAAGCCTCGTACTTCTATATTGAATTCTTAGATTTGGAAAATGTTCTGCTATGATTTCAGTGAATCAATTTTTAATTTTTTTCAGTTACTTTGTAATTTTTCCTTTATTTCTATAATTCTGAGGTTGATCTGAGTGATCTAGCAGCTAATGGATCCAATTTAAAGGTATTTTGTCATTTGTAAGGTGTCACTGAGTTTATGATCTACTATATCCACGTTGTCTTCTACTTCTGACCCTGTTCTTACATTAATCAAGTCTGCTAGCTATGCTTTTCATTAAGTTTTTCATATCATCTATCTCAGCTTGCTTTTCATACTTTCAAATTCTTTTCTAAAGGTGGGTCAAAGGGTAGGAGGGGAAGGGGATGTAAAAACATTTAAATGCATCATGTATATGAACTAATTACCCACAATGAATATAATCTTTGTCACAAACATAAACTACAACTACTACTACTACTACTACTACTACTACTACTACTACTACTAATGAAAATGGAGAAAGGGGATCTGAGACAGAGAGAGAGGTGGGTGGGGAGGAGAAAGGGAATAAAAAGAATAAAAATATGTTAAGTACCTGTACCTACTACCTAAGATGAATGTGAACATCATGTACTCCAGATGAGCTAATGAAAAAAGAAACTAACTGGAAAGTAGAATCGTGATTACTAGAGACTGGGGAGGGTGTGTAAGGAAGGGGAAGAGGGGCAAAAAGAGAGAAGCTGGGTTTGATCAGTAAATGCTATATGAGTGTATGGAAATATCACACTGAACTCCATTACAGTAATAAGTACAATTAGTATGTTTTAATAATAAAAGAATGTAGATATAGGATATCTGGAAAAAGAAAAAGTCAGAAAAAAGGTTAAACAGATAGAAAAAAAGAAAACAAAAACAAAACAAAAAAAAAACAAAGAAAAACAGAAACAAGTCCAAATCCTCTGCCTGTGGCATTGGAATTCACCAGATATAGGTAGGGACACTGAGTTACAGTAGGATCTATTTTGTTTCCACACCTATTTTTTGCTGTGTGAACACTAAATCTGGTTCTGCCTTTCCCACTGGGTGTGGTCATTCAACGGGGGTGGTGTCTGCCTCAGGGCTGTGTTCACTTTAGCAGCTCTTAGTGCTAGCAGGTTCCCTTCTGTGCACCCCAAGCCACTGCTATCTCCTATTGGCTTGAGAGGAGTCTCCCTTGCTCCAGAGATGATTATATCCCTATATCCCAGGACATGGCAACTGTCCAAGCCAACACTCACCCTGCTCATTTTTCTTTTTTTTGGTACTGAGGATCGAACTCGGGTCCTTGCCCTTTTGGGGCAGGCTGCAGAACCGCTGAGCTAAACCCCCGGCTCACCCTGCTCATTCTGATAGATGGGAAAAACAAACAGACCCCCGAGCTCTGTGTTGGAAGTAGGCAGTAAGGAGAACCAATTAGTTTGCTGGA